GAGGTTTCTTCCGTTAAAGGGAGTTTTTCCTCCCCACTGTCGCCAAGTGCTTGCTCAAGGGGGGTTTGTTGGGTTTTCCCTATGTAATAATATTGATAACAGTAAGGTCTAGACCTTACTTTGTAAAGTGTCCTGAGATGACTTTTGTTGTGATTTGGCGCTATAGAAATAAAATTTGATTTGATTTGGCTAAGGTGCATGTAAACTCCTGACTTCAACTATACATTAACTGTACATTAAAGCACCTGAACACCAAATGATGTGACTGAATGTACATTAAACCACAGCTACTCTGAGCAGTAGTGGGAGAAGTATTCAAAACATTTTAGAATAGTACCTGCCTCAGAATGGCCATAACTTTTTATAGTGCCTCACGTAATCATGAGTCAAAGGCCCATGCTCAAGATCAGGGTCTTGTGTTTCATAAGGAGGAAGCAGTGGTGCGTTTCCCTGAGGAGTGTTTAATCATTTTTGAACAAAAATGGAGGTCTATGGCACTGACAAATAAGCTGATCCAGGACTGACAGACATTAACGACAAGCAGGGTCAAATCACTGTTAGTTTTAGTCTCTGTATGGGGACTGCTGAAAATACTGTTAATAGAGAAAATGAGAGCCCTTATCCTTTAATGCAAGTTATATAAATTAAACCATGGGGCCCAGGTAGACACTGTTTTTAGCGAGGCGTCGCCTGCCAGACAGGCTGGGAACTGTGGGCTTCATCTTGACAAGTACATTTATTTTTGTATTAAGTCTTAATCTATAGCTTTCAGATAAATGGAGTAATAAGTACAATATTTCCATTTGAAATCTAGTGGTTTTAAATATTAATGACAAAGAATAAAAATACTTAGAGTATATTAAGTTAAGTAAATTAAGTCCTTTATTATGATAAGGCAGATAATAGTTCAAACATGCATCTCCTGCCACTCCCAGAGACTGATACACAAAAACCTGAGCAAACATTGAAAAAAAACCCCGAAACAACCAAGCCTATACACCAACCGCTTTAGCACATCTTGTATTAAAAACTAACAGTATCCAGGTTTATAAAATTAATAGGGTTATAAAACATCCAGTTTAAAGTGAATTCAAATGAACACATTTCATACACGACGGGCTGCCGCTGCTCAGGGGCTGCGTGAGCTCCTCTGACGGAGCTGTGAGGATGCAGAAGAAGACGCAGAAGTTTGGGAGCCACTGCATTAGCCTAGTCATCATATCTGAGGTCAGTGTCAGATGGACGCTTGCCCTGCTGGGTGACCTCAATTCCAAAAGTTTTAGCATTTATATTGACATTTGCATGAGAGCAGAGAGGACACAGCCCGCTGAGGCGAGGAGACCGACAAGAACTGTGTGCATTTCCTCCCGTGGAGGAAGTTAGGATATTTTTCCACTAGAAATATGATGTATGAGCTTAACAGCATTCCTGATTTATAGACAGATCTTCAACTGGAATATTATGCACGGACACTGTGGATTACTTTGGAAAATGTTTTTTTGTTTGATTATTTTTTATTTTTCAAAACAGGCTCCAGTGTTATCTCCAAGATGTTCAGTGCACTTTGTTCCTAATGTATAAGAAAAGATGGTCTGTTTTATGTTTGGTAAATTATAGAGAGAGCCTCGTGGAGCCTTATGTGAAGCAGAATTGAAGTAAAAGTCAAAGAGCTCTGTTTGCAGTTACATTCACATGCACCGCAGTTAAACTTTGAACAGGCAGGTTTAATGGCTTTGCTGGAGTGAAGAGGTGCGACTGAAATGGATGTTTCACTGTTTGTTACATGATGATTTAAGGGCTCCACCTTTTAGTATAATGTCTTTTCTGATTAGTTATTCCAGATGAATCATTTTTTGTGGCAGAAGACAGTTTGGTATGTGCAACACCACTTTATTAGGTACACCTATACAATTTAAGAAAACCCTATACAACAGATGTACCTGAGATTCCACACTTAAGATTATAATGTTCAGTTGTTGTTGTCCAACTGGGTGGTGCTGTTAAAATGAACTGCATTACACAGAATTGTGTTTCTAGTATTCTTTCTTTCTCATGCTCGTAAACAGGGCAGGTGAAACATTAGAAACTACAAAACTACTTAAACCAACAGTTAAATTAAAACCTCTCTGACAGTGTCAATCAAAACTAGCATTATTTTAATACAAGTTTATATGTAAAGGGCACCTGAATGTGTACATGACACCATAATATAACACGAGTCCTACCTTTAAACTGTGGCAGGTATAACCGCAGGTGTCGCCCAGAGTGTAAAATCTTGTCTTGAAAAAGATCTATTTTGTTCATGAATAAAATCTGCAAGAAAACCACACACAAAAAAGGTCATCACAGAGCAGAGGGTTTCTCTGCAGGGGGAAAGGAAAATCAAAGATCAGGAGAAAAAGAAAATTCTGACAGTGCAATAACTAACCAATCAATCAGATTCAAACATTAGTCACACTTATTGGCACTTTACAGATATGTACGTAAAATGCCAAAACCAGTAGCTTTGTTGATAGGAGGTGATGATGCTAGATCCATTTCCTCCCTCTACGCATCACCGTGCAGTCAATCAGCGCTCAGCTACAGCTCTAATAAATCTGCCTTTCTGCTGTTCTCTGTTACTTCCTCTTAACTCAGCTTTGGCTTGGCTGCACCCACATTCCACAGATACTTTTGTCTTTGTAGTCGACCAATTAAAACTATGACCAAGTTTTGTCTTTTCCAGCCCGTTTGATCACAAAAATAAACTCTCTCTCACACACACACACAAAAAGTCCTGCATAATAGTGAAGGTAGGGATGTGGTAGAGAAGAGTTTCAATGAACAGGATACAGGACGGGTGTGTAATTATCACTGAGAAGCCACAATAAAGAGTTTATCGAGGTGGAGGTTACACATTTCCCTTACACATAAAAAAAAAGGTATCATTAAACACTTTGGTTTAATGAGCCTGTTAGCCGTGTTAACGTGCAGGCCACACAGCCCTGCACATAAACATGTCGCACACAGACATTTAATTGCCTGTTTGGCTCTAATGAAGCCTTAAATAACATTTCTTTATAATTTTAAAAAAAGAATGATTTACTATAAGAGAAGTTCTGTGCAACACTGAAACTTTCTTAAGGTCTTTAAGATTTGCCGTTTGTTTCAAGATTTTCATGAACAAACACCAACCATAAATTATTACCCTCATGATTTCAATCAGAACTCTCATATCAATCATCATTAATGCTGCTGTTTGGCCTTAGATTGGAGTTTTTTTTCTACTGTATATGGGCTATTCAGATATGTTAAACAGTGTTCACATTAAAAGGCTTCTGGAAAAGTGAAGAAACCCTCCTGAGCCGCTCATCTCACTGTGCAGTGACTTGTATTTTAAATGAGCTTTAAATGTAAGCTAACAGGAATAAATTGAACAAGCTCATTACATGGTAGCGTTAATGTGATCGTTTGCCAGAAGTAGGAATGGAAAACAGAATATCGCCCCGTCAAAGCTCAGCCTAATTATAACTCATCGTTTAATTATGGGTGACAGAAGTCAGAGACAAAGGGCTGAGGCTGCGGTCATTGTGTGAGTGTGTGGAAACAGTATTAGTGTGTCTCTTGTCTCCTGTCAAACTGAAGTTTGCCTGCATCTCCCCCTTTATCTCTATCCACCAGCTGTACTGTCAGACTGAAGTGTGGGTCCTGTCCTCTTCAGCTGGACCCTGAAGTTTTCTGTTTTGGGACTTTTAAAACAAAGCTATAGCTATTCGCCATCCCACTGTCTGGAAAACAGTGAATAAAGAAGAATTTTACACTAGGACAAAACAATTCTGTATATCCCATGTCAAAAATTTTATTGGTCCATGACTAAACACCTGCAAAACTAACAACTTCAGCCTCATCTGTGCTTTTTCAGTGCAAATTAGCAAATGTTAGCATGAGACCTTGATTGACAATGAACTGTAACTCCTCTCAGTGAAATATTTTGGTTTAGTTTGTCTGCTGTTATTTGTTACCCTAAATTAATTAAAACCAACATTAATGTGTGAACACTAAGTACATGGCTGGCTGCACAAGAGGACAAGAGACGCAGCTTCAGTGAAGCTCAGACGCAGGAGACGAGTTGATCCCACTGGGGTTCTGTTAAAGCCTGCATCCTGTTTTAGGCATCAGGAAGCAAAGGTGGTCGTTATATGTTGTGACCCATTAGTAGCCGGTGTAGCTGCCAGATGTAGTGTTAAGTTATTCCTTTAGTACAGCCTCACAGAGTTACTTTAGTGTCTTCAAAACACTAAAATCCTCTTTGTTTCACTACTTGTATGTTTTTTTTCATGCTGCTGAGGAAGCGGGTAACTGATGAATATCTCACCATGGATGTGCTGCGGAAGAACACGTTGTTGCAGATGGAGGAGAAGAGCTTAATGCTCTCCTGTAGACGATTCTGCCGAGAGAAGACAACATCATCATCAAACAGCTGCAGATGAGCAGAGAGCCAGTGCTTGGTATACTGGGGCATCTAATGGGTGAGGTTTAAAGACTGCTCCCTGCTTGCTTTGAGTGGACAGCATAGACATTTGAGATGAATGTAATGTAATGGAGAGCAGCATGTACCATGGAGGGGTCTTCCACCAGTGTCATGTCGTAATCACTCAGCGACACCACGAACAGCACTGCCCTGACGTCCTCAAAACAGCTGATCCACTTCCTCCTCTCAGTTCTTTGGCCTCCAACGTCATACATCCTACGCATGCAAAAAGGTGAGAACAAAAAAAATTTGACACATGCCTGCAGATTAAAGAAATCTGAATTGTGGGTTTTAGGGGTGTTTATGCTGAAAACAGCTGCCTGCTGCTCAAGCTTGCTGGTGTTACTGAGAGTAAGTGGCCACTATATGTTTGCATCTATGTATTTTACACCATGTGTAAAAGGTGTGCTGTATAGTCAGAAGCCAGAATTTGTGTCTTTCTTCTTACACACAGATACCGTGTACACACATTTTCAGGCATAAGCAATCGAGCGAGAGCTGGACTGTGCGCCCTAGTACTACAGACCACACCCAGCTGTGAGTTTAGACTTAGAACTCAGCACATAAAGGTCCAGTGCAGTTATGTTTTTCCTCCATCTAGTGTTTGCACTTTAAGGGAATTAGGTTCAGGTGCATTGCTGTTTTATATGGGAGATATATTTTTTGACTGTACCTGTGTCATGTCTGTACAATAAATCTGATGTGTGGAGCCCTCAGTGGCGTTTTAAGTTTAGCTAAATATATATATATTAAAAATGCCAAAAACAAACTTGACTTTTTACTTCACTGATTAGACATGATCTCAGGAATATATGATTTTTTTTAAACACAACTTACACATTTATTGTATTAATTATTTATTGTATTATGGTGTTTAATATTTGACTTGTCATAACAAAAAAAAAACAAAACAATTATTAGAAATAACTATGGCTGCATCCCATTTAGGTGTGCCGGTTTCTGGAATATTGCATGTTGGCTCATTGGCATGAATGGAACAAAGTCATTGTTCATTTTTATTCATTAATTTCTGCTCTGACAAATTAAAATGTCTGCCTGTTTGTCATAAACCCTGTAGACAGAGCCATGAAGAGGAGCAATGTTTGAAATATTATCAGAGAATAAATATTACAGAGACAAAAAGCATCAGAGCATGTGCAGAAAACGAGTAATGTGTCATTTAAAGCAAGATAGTAAGAAAAGCTTTGCATGCGTAAAGGAATAAGACCAATCCACACTGTGATACAGGGCCCAGGTGCTGCTGATTTAGCTGGCCAACACACTCTAATCAGAGATGTTCTAGAGAATAAACACACACACACACACACACACACCCTTGACGTCAATACTTACAGGATCCGTACACAAACCAACATTCATAGGAGACTCCCCCACCCCACACACACACACACACACACACACACACACACACACACACACACACAGTGGCTGCAGACCACATGGAGGCTGCTGTTCAGATGCCGAGTTATCAAACAGAAGTAGTTTCTCAAAGAGGAAGTCATTCTGCCTGTGCACTCTTAAATAAAACCGTTAGCCAATATTGGGCCTCCTTTTGCAACTGAGCTATCAAACCGGTCAGGGGATTTCTACTGTGTGATGTGAAGGCAATAACAATAAGATTTTGTTATTTTTATTATATATAACCATATTTTAATCCAGGACTGTCTGCTGGATGACATAAAAGACAGCATGCCCAGTGTGGCGTTATTGTGATAAGGGGAGAAAGTTTATTAACTTCACTCGTTCATCAAGTCTGTGAAATGACATCTCACTGTGACTGACATATCCTTTATCAGAATTTAATTTCAAATACAAACGTGCTTTCTCTGTGCTCCTGACCTTCCATACTGATGGTGTAGCCTGTTGAGGGGGACCTCTTATCAATGACAGACTGTATTGGTTTTGGATAAGGTCAGATGTTCCTCAAACATGTGATTCTCTCACACACACACACACACACACACACAAGGATGAGTGTGTCATATGTCTTTGCAGACTGCCCCCCCCCCTTTTTCAATTTAAACCAAGACAACCACAACATATTCCTCGAGACAATCACAACACAGCAGCTCAAAGAGCTTAAAGGTCAATGTTCTCCAAAAGGACGAGAGAAAAACCACAACAGGAATAAGAACAGAGAAACACATAGATCAGTTCAACCCACTGCACCCATTCCCAAAGCCAGATGTGCCACCTCTCACCTTCCATTTGAGCATCCTTCAGTGTAATGAAGCTTTTTATTGAGAGTGGAAATGAACATGTGGAAACGTAGACGCACAAAGAGGGAAACCTACAGCACAGGCGTTGTCACGTAAAGATGAGATCAGATTTATGCTGGAACATTTCTGTGGAAACTCAAGCCCAGGACAGAACATGCCAGTTTATTGATGTGGAGGTTACATACACTCCACTGCACCCTGCCCCCGAATCAGTCACGAAGGACAGAACTGTTATAAACTAAAAGGCACAAATGTGTAGCTATTTGAGTCATGTCACTTAAGCTCAAGTCAAAATCAAATGACAAATCTGAGGAATTCAGACTCCACAAAACTCAACAAGACTAATACCACTAAGCTAAATGCTCACACTGACAATGCTAATAAGTTAGCATTTAGCAGCTACTGTTTGCCAAGTTCTACTGAATGCTTCTGTTAAAGTTTCCCATGTGTAGACAGGGAATAAGTTCTGAAAATTAATAAAATAATCAATCATTTCATTTTTGGTATATATAATTAACAGTTAATAGGTGTTTATATTTTGAATTGGTACCCAGCACTAGCTGAAGAATCAAATTATTTATTCCCCAAATGAAAACAGACTAAATTACCTGAACCAACACGCTCCTAACTTTGACTTGTCTGTATAAAGAATGCTTTGCTTTATACTGTATGTCACAGCTCACTAAGAATCAGCCTTTCCTCCTCTCCTTCCTCCACACCTGCATCCCCTGACCCACTCCACACTGACATGCAGTGTTGTCATGGTAATTACCAGAGCCGCTGATGTTAATGATGCAGGAAAAAACCCACGTTCTTATTACACTGACAGGTCAAAAGTCAAACAGCACATATGTATGCAAAATAAGCAGCATCTGAATGTAAAGTTGTGAGACTGTACGCCCATACACATACACTCATTTAAATGCAAAACACACACAAAATACACTCAGACACTGGAAGGATGACAGCTTAATGAACTGATGATGTGTCATTCCTTTTTATATACAGTCTATAGTTAACACGAGTGAAAAGAAGATCATTTGTAGTTTGTTACCTGGTATAACTATTTCTTGTTTTTAGGCTAAGACTGCCTGTCTGAATTTCCGTATATCACATACAGACAGTTGTATCGATCTTCTTGTCAACTCGTTCCACAAAATTAGACTGTTTCCCAAAATGTTAAACTATTTAAAAAAAAATCTTAACTCACGTTTTAACCCCTGGTCCCTGTTTCTTTGTCTTATCTGTGGAGGATATCTGAATTATTCAAATCATGAAAATTTGGCAGCATTCATTATTGAGAAGAACCTAAGTTTGGTGTTAAACACTGAGAAAGTCTTGTAGGCTACAGTGTTAACATTTTACTGTACGTTTACTTCTACGTGAGAGATTCCAGTAGACTAAATGTTTTGTCCTGTAACATGGGACCAGCCAGGAAGACAGGGACACACACCTGATCACTGTTATTGATAATGAGAACCTTCCTTAGCTTCACAAAACCTATTGGAGTCTTTCAGAAATTTAGGGTAACAATAAATATGTTATCAATTTCCAAGAAGTTTAGAAAATATAACTGCAATTAAAAAATAATTGTAAATTGTATAAACATATATAAATCAGTGTAAATGAAATCAAACACCATCAATCCATTATCTACAACACTTATCCTAAAGAGGATAAATATTAATTCATCCTCAAGTCTTCAAGGATCAGTCCTAGCAGCGCTCACAGTAACACATAAGACTATTTTTCAGTATCAGAAACAGGAGTGTGGGGCACAGGTGCTGGCTCAGATGAGAAACCTGGACTATTAACAAGAGAGGAGACACTCATTCAGCTGAGGGAGATTCACAAAGTGTCAGCTACAAGTGCAGCTTCAATATTTGCAAAATGATATCGAGCCAGAGAAGACACCAGTGTTTCCATATTAACTCCAGTCTCTGTTGTTTTCCAAAACATCAACTGAATTATAACTAAAGCTAACACACGTCATCATTAAGGACGATTATTCATTAAAACTACACGCACCGTATACCTTTTTTTTTCTCCGTCTATCCAACAGTGCACCACAACATTAACTTTCTATCTGTGCAAATCCCTTTAATATCCTTTTTGTTTCTAAGTTTGAAATAATTACATCAGTGTATCCTAAGCTCTATATCAACCCCAAGGGCACGATCTTTCCAAGTGACAAACATGAACCCCCTGAACACACACACAGATTACAAAAGAAAGCTTTAAACTTCGCTTTACCTTTTTTTTTTTGCCAGCGAACGATATTTGTGTGATAATTTGTATAACTTTGAAGTCAGTTTGTGAAATTGCTTAAGGTGCTGTGTGCCAATAAGCCCAATTTTTTTTCTCCTTAAGAATTCAGGCAGGTAAGAGAGGGGGTGTGTGGAGGTGGGGTGGCTGGGCTTCGTACTGCAGCACCGCCTGGAACACTACTGCCTAACATCACAATGTTATACAGAAGAAAAACACACAAATTTAAAAAAAGGTAAAAATAACTGGCTTCAGTGACTCAGTGATGCACACAGTAAGACCGCAAGGAAAAAGCAGCATTTATCTACGGAGGGCAACACATGCTTGCGATCAAAGTGTTTGTTTTTTTTTTTGGCTGGTGAAACTTTTCCTGATGTGAGGTACTGTGTAAATTCAGCCAAATGTCTGCGTGACATTTAACAAAAACACACACCAGTCAGAGGCATCCAGGGACATAGACACAAATGCCCTGGACTGAAGTTATCTGCTGACAAACTGGCTCTCTACAATGTTTATATGCTAAACAGAGATCTTATGAAAAGCTGAGGTAATGGTTTTATTATTTGAATATGAGCTGTAACGTGGTGCAAGGAAGACAGACAGGTTGAAACTGCGGTAGGATGAGGGAGAAGGTTGATATTAATAAGAAATATGTACAACGTAATTAGATTTTTATGAATATGATGACAGATACACTGTCAAAGACAGCAGCACACAAAAAAAGTACGTTCAGTGTAGTGTTCCTGTTAACCCTCCATGACCCACTGCCCTTCTATTAAAACTAAACTGTGGGAAAAAATAAAAACAAAAATAAGCATTAAAAAAAAAACAGTGGACATTTTAACTGATATTGTTAGTCAATTTGCTTGAACTTGTACAGTTTTATTCCACTTCCCCTGACACTTCATCACCTGAAAACTCAGACGTCCGTGGCTTTAACTCTTTTTATCACCTACACTTCAAGGATACTTCAACTTTACTCAGCACTTCAATTTTGACTATATCAGCATATGTGCTTTATATCGACTACAACTTCAGCTGTTTTCGTTACTTCAACTTTCAGGTTTAAACAATTTAACTGCAAAATGTCAACAGCAAGTACAACATGTATCCATATAGTTTTATGTTGTATATTTTATTAAAGTTCTCATAGCATGTGAAAATGCAACATTAAACACTTATGTATTTGGAAATTTTAGGTAAACTTTTTTTTACTTCACAAATAATAAAGGTATTTTAAAACATTTATTCATGTAATCCACTTGTATAAACACTTTCAAACAACAAAATGAGCCTGGTGCATCAATACCAGAGGAGGCACTGGCTTTTTATAACATTATTAGTGTCTGTTGTGCATCAATACGGCTGCTGAGAAATCAAGTTCATTAATATCTGTCGCCCTGTCACGACCATCAGCGGCTGCAGGAAATGAGTTCAGCCGCTGGAGAATGATAAAGTAGGTGGTATTATGTGACAGCAGCTCACTGATCAAAGATGAATATGGTCATCTGACATCTGAGGCTCCTGAGCTTAGATTCCTGCCCTCTGCTTCTTAACTGATAAGACCAAGCCACTGATGCTTTTGAATGTGTGTGTGCAGTGAGCAGATGAGTGTAAAGCCAACTGATGGGTGCTATATTGATGTATTGAATGAAGGCGCCCATCTCCACCTCACATCTTGGGCCTATCATGTGACTGTAGATGGAGATAAAGCCTGTCGCAGCCAAAGAAGTGAAGCAAGTTGGTATGACAGGAGGTCCGGAAGAAGTCGAGTGCAGACCTGAATGGCTGCGGCTCCAAAGGAGTCATTCTGGAGCATTACCTTTCAATTAAAAAAAAACAAGTGGAAGACGTCTACCTGAAAATGAGGTGGTTGACTTTGAACTGGGTCTCTATCACGCCTGTTGTCCTCAGTCGTACTCGTAGAACATCAGTCTCTGTGGGCACGTAGTCCAGGGACATGATGCGGGGCATGTTCTCAAAGAAACTAGCAACAGAACAAGAACAGAAGACAGAGGAGAAAAAGGAGAGAAATTATGGAAGATTAATAACCTGCAGACAACTTGAGATCAAAAGAATTAAGTCGGGTATCAGTTATGGGTGTGTGTGTGTGTGTTTTGTGGCCGCCAGGTGGCAGGTAGGGTGTGCACTGATAAGGCTGGACTCCCAGGGGGTGCAGCAGCTCATCATGATGAATATTCACACTGTAGTTTACCATAATAACACACTGAGGCTAAGCTTTCAAACACAAATGAGCTATTACCACAGCAAGCCTAGTCAACTGTATCGTGTGTGTGCACGCACTCAGTGAGATGTGATCTTTCTCCACCTACCTGACCAGCCTGTGACTTTCTCAAGTAGTCAGCTTGAAATAGTTTAATGGGCAGCGACACACATGCCTGCTGGAAACTGCACCATGTGGACAAGATGAAAATGTGTGTGTGTTTTTGTGAGGACCAATCGGAATTTTAGAGAGAGCAGCCATTTTTGAAGGGAGCACATGGAGACCAGTCCTCAGTGATTCTGGGAAACTCAGAACAAACTCAGAACACTGACATACCACTAATTTCAGAGCTTTTCACTAAAATCAGCTACTGGAAACAAGGCTGATGAGAGCAGAGGCTAGAAGATCAAAACTCTGAGCTAAAAGACACTAAAACATCCCATAAAGTTTGAGGGGAAGTGCAGAGTCAGTAATTCTAAAGGTTTAATGTTCAAACTTAGGTTTAGTTTTAAGAAAATTTCCAGTTTATTTCAACTTGATTTAGTTTTGGTCATCATTTGATGGTCCAACCCTAGGTTAGCTGTTTGACAGGCAGTTTTCCCAGATTATCTACACTAGTTTATTTTGGAGAAAAACCCAGGGTGAGCACACCTGAAACTTCTATAACAATCCCTGTGTGTGTACTTACAACTGCACCAAGTGGGTAAAATAATTTGACCTACTTTGACTAATCTAGACAGGGTCTGTTTAAAAGCTGTCAGATCACCAATGTTTCTTGCCCTGACTGGCCTATTTTTAGTGATGCTGCCAAGTTCCCAGATCTCAGCTATTAACTTGGTGAATGCAGTCTTATTACTATTGATTAGAATGATGGCCTACTACAAAGAAACCCTAGTAATGAATGGGAATTCCCTTTAAGGCTAGGATAAGGGTCCTCACAAATACAGTATAGAAGTATAAACACGTGTGTGTGTGTGTTGGCCTGAGGAGAAAAGAGAGTGATGCATGCTGGTTCTTTCTGGAAACCAGTGTGCCCATCTGTGTGGATAACCCCAGAGCCGAGTCCTCTTAGTGGGGTAAAGAACCAGAGCAGACGGCCTCCTGCTGGGTCCCAGTGCTGTCGTACTTGTGCATCACACACGCCATCCCCTGTACACTAATTTCTTATTTTGTGTTATCTTCATGCTCACTTCTTTGCTTTTATTACTGTGCTTGCACATATTCCTTAAATATGCACTCTTTTCAACCTTTTCTGTAATCACATTTATTCATATGTCAGAGTTTGACTTTGTTTTTACACACACACAGTCAGATCCAGTACAAAACACACACATACTGTACATATTATAAGGACGTTTTATGCATACATACAATAGCCATGGAAATATATATATATATATAACTGTATATATAAATACATTTTTTTGTGGTTTGTCTCCCTCCCTCTTTCCTGGCCGAGCATCAGCTGCTTGGTCCAGCTAATTAGACCCTTACGTCTCCTTGGCCCAGCGTGAGTGCATGCTTGAAGAATACTCACTACAGTGCCGAGTCATTGAGCTCATACTCGTAGCCCCGGACCGCTGCAGCCCTCACCCCTTTGTCAGCCCACAGACAGGACAAGGCGTGGCGCAGGAAAGGAAACAGCACCTGTTCTTCGTCAAAACACCGCCCACACGACAGGACAGAATGAGCATGGACCTGCCAGAAGAGATGGAGACAGAAATGCGGATGGATGAGCGGGGAAGA